GCCAGACATTCCTTCTCTGTAGTACTATAATTCCTATCTGCGGGCCTTAACAGTCTACTAGCATATGCCACTGGGAGTTCTCCACGCTCATCTTCCTGTGACAACACGGCACCTATCGCGACGTTTGAGGCATCTGTCGCTAACACAAATGGACTACCAAAGTCTGGGGATCTTAATAGGGGTGCTGTTATCAAAATTTCCTTTAGCTTTTCGAATGCGACTTTGTGTTCCTCACCCCAGTGAAACTTTACATCGATCTTCAATAAGTCTTAAAGAGGCTTTGAAATCTTAGCGTATTGTGATATATGATGCCTATAATACTCTGTCTGTCCCAGGAATGCTCTAACATCTCGCTCATTCTTAGGTTGGGGAAAATTTCTAACGCATTCTATTTTCGCTGGGTCAGGTCGGATTCCTTCTTCCGACACTTCGTGCCCCAAGAATTTTATCTGCCGCCTCAGCAGTTGGCATTTTCGGGGCTTCAGCTTCAGTCCCGCTGTCGCCAAGCGCTGAAGGACCATTTCCAACCTTTCTAAGTGCGATTTAAAGTCTGGACTAAATACTGAAATGTCGTCCATGTAGACGAGGCAAATTTTGTTTTTCAAGCCACTTAATATTAAATCCGCACATTTTTGGAATGTAGCTGGGGCACAGGTCACGCCCATTGACATACGATTATATTGATAGTGCCTCGAAGGAGTGCTAAACCCCGTCTTTTCCTTTGATTCGGGGCTCAAAGGCAACTGCCAAAATCCACTTAATGTATCCATGGAAAAAAAAGATCGCAATCTTCCCAATAAACTCAATGATTCTTGAATATGGGGCAATGGGTACTGGTCTATTTTGGTAAGTTTATTTAATTGTCTATAATCTACGACTAATCTATAGCCTTGGGGTTTTTTTGCAACTAATAACGCAGGCGCCGACCAGGGGGAGCTGGACGGTTCAACTACTCCACTTTTAATTATATTTTCTACTAGTTCATCCATTATTTACCGTTGCGCATATGGAATTCGGTAAGGGGCACGACAAATTGGGAAACTGTTCCCTGTGTCTATTTTGTGCTCCACTAAATCGCAATAGCCCAAGTCAAAATCGTCTTTCGCAAACACGTGTTTATATTTGTATAATAAATCTAACAAAAGGGTCAACTTATCCTTCCCTACTTCACTTAAGTCAAATAAATTCGCAAATTGAGCTCTTGTTAACTCTGTTTCATTTGATCACGAAATTTTATTCCGCTCTGCATTTTCCTTTGTTTCCTCTTCTGCTAAAAGAAAGATTCCTATTTTATTACCCTTTTCAATCTTAACAAGTTGCGTTTTCACGTTCATTATCCTTACAGGTACCTTGCCACGCCTCCGTGTTTTGACTAACGTACTAGCAATAAACACTCCCTCACTATCGGGAGGTGTCGATTCAATGACTCCCACTTCATTAGTCACCGGAGAGATGACTTTCCCTTCCACGAAGAACTCTGACCGCGGGGGAATGACGTAATCTTCAGCTAACGTCACTTCCTTAAAAGAGTTGTTCTCTCCCTGTCCTAAACTTTTAACGGTTGTTTGTTTTGACTTTTCCCGTTTTATTTTTCGCCTGTTATTTCGTGCGCGTTTATTTTTCTTTGTCGTTTCTGCATCCCTTTTTGTTTTATCCTCGTTTTTGCTAATTGACGTTGAATTTAAATCATATTTTGTCAACTCACGTGTGTTTGTGTCAATTTGCTTAAGACTATTTTCGTTAGCTTTTTTGGACTAGGACGGGTGTCTGTTTCCTTTATCTCGGCCAAATCCCAAAATGACACAATATCGCCCGAGGGGAAGCTAAGTGTTGCGTTTCTAACCGAAATTGTGACATCATATAATTCGATGATGTCTCTCCCAAAAATTTTGTTGTTCGGCTCGGTGATTTCGGGCATTACCAAATAACAATCATGATAAAAGACTAATCGTCCGATTCTAAATTTTAACTTAAACTTCCCAATCGTTTTTATAATGTGACCTGTAACGCTAACTAATTCTACCGTTCTAGTTTCGGCTCGCGGCAATCGTTCTATATTAGGGAATAGGTTTCGTGATATTAGGGTAACGGCTGTGCCCGTGCCTATTCTCAACCGTACCTCTTTATCCTCGATTTATCTTTATCTTTATCCTCGGGTTCCGTACATTTCGTGTGGGGACTGCCCATTCGGAAGCGTCGCGTTTCGCTCCCCACCTTCCCTGATATGGCGGACGGATGTTTCCTCCATACCATTCAAGTGGTAATGGGGCATACTCCTACGGATTCAAATTCGGCGAAAAGTTTTGTAAATATCGTTTTTTGTTCCCTCTTTACGGGAAAATTGGGCCTTGTTCCAAGTATTGATTGTAAATAGAGTAACGCGCGCAGGGTTTTCGTCGCGGGAAGGCTAGCGATGATCACGGGGAAAACTGTTGCGGTGTACGACGCTGCGGGCTTGGGGGATAGCGCAGATTTCGCATCCCATTGTTCGCCCTTTCAGCTTCTTGCGTTCGATTGGTTCGCGAGGGTTCTCGTCAGAAGCCGTTTGTTTGCTGAGGTGCAGGCTGTTGATCTAATCTTTTCTCTAATGTGACTAATTGCTTCGAAAGTTGCGCGATTTTAGTGTCGAGAGCCGATTCTCTCCGCGAATTGGCCTCCTCTGACTAAGGGTCACAATTAACTACGGTATCACCTACACTGGCGACTAAACTCCGCGTTTTTTCTCCTAATTGATCTATAGTCTCTTCGCGGATCGCAATTTTGAACGCTTCGGCGAAGGTCGCCAGATCGTGCGTCATAACCTGCCTCTTTAGTCTATCAGTTAGGCCATGCAAGAATTGGACACGCAATTTTTCGTCCAGTTCTCGCTGTTGACAGCGTTTAATAACTGCGCTCTCCTGTTCGTTTGCGCCCGTGTGATCTATGGCCGTTGCGCTAGCGAGAGTCTGCAAGCGGACCGCGAACTCCTGCACCTTTTCATCTCTCCTCCGGGTACACGCATGGAATTTTTGTACTTTAATAGAGTACGGCTCACGATCAAATCGTTGAATCATTAGCGTTTTAAAAGTATCGAAGTCTGTCACGCATTTCATCTGCAGGTTGCGCAACGCGAAGTCTCGAGCCACGCCCGTGAGCTTGCACTTGGCAATGCTCAGACACTGGCAAGGCGTCCATCCCACCAATCTCGCGATTTCTCCCAATGTGTCGAAAAAATCAGACACTCGTTCCGTTTCGCCCGAAAATGTCGGGATCATTCCTCCGAATGCGGAGAAAGAGTAGAAAGAGCCGCTACTGCTACCGTTTCGAGGTCGCGTCGGGAACACTTGCATCAGCCTCCATCGTTTCACCCACTTTTTAGACAAACTTTTCGTTGGCTCACTTACTCAAATGTTGTGGGACATAAATAATCCCAGTTCTGACACCAGTATAAGGTTTGACGACATTGAGAGGGAAAAAGTCTATTTCACGTCAGGATGAGCCTAAGGGAAACCGCGTATGTGGGCGGTGGCGAAGGAGGCAAATGTTGAACAAGTGTTTTACAAAACAAAACCCGTTTATTTGTTCGAATTCATGCTTACATCGATAATGGAAAATTCCAAAATCTCGGTGCTCCTGGAACGGCGAAAGTTCGTGATCTCGGTCGCAGTTCGGGCGAACGAGAAAGATATCTGGGCGAAGCAGAAGTTCGTTGTTACGTTGCGGCGTCCTCGGTGATCGGCGGATGCACAGCACAAATTAATCACCACTGTAGGGTTAATCCGGAGGAGACTCTCCTTTGACCTTGAAGTTCCGATTTTTATAGTTTTTCTTGCACTATTCACTTTTCAGATTGGTCCCTCGTCCCATTCCTTGCTTCCCGATTGGTCTCTCCTTCGTCTCCAGGTGCAAGACGAAACTTTTTCGGGTAGCGGGAAAGGTTTGATTCGAGGTGTCCATCTGATACCTCTTTGTTGACTCTGCTCGATGACTGTTTATAAAACAATAACACCTGCACTCATAACTCAGGCCGTTATTTACCATTTTTGACGTCTAAGAATTTAACGATCATTTTCACCTTTCACCTATCAAAAATTTTCCTATTTTTTTTTGTTCGAAAAATTTATTTCGGCCAACATTTTATAGACAAGCGAGTCAAAGATCTACTTGTTTATGAGCGCTCATGTTAGAGTTTGTCTTCCGCTAAGACATTAACAGATAGTTGACACATACTCGAACCGCACCGAGTCTCGTTGTTTTCATCTCGTGTCGCGCAAGAATTTCACGGTTTACTCCAGTTCGAACCTCGTTTGGGAACCCACACATTATAATTAAAATATATACAGAAAATAAGCACGCACATGGTACTGCTTTTAGAGAGACAGGGAACGCGAGCAATTGACAGCTATGCACGTGAGCAACTGACACAATGTGCTGAAAATACTAACTCGGAATGTGCCGAAGTACAAAAGCACAAAGTTACACACGAAAAAAAATATAAATAAATAAAAATAAAAATAAAAGTAAAATAAAATAATAACAATAACAACAATAATAATACTAAACACGAAAAGTCCCCTGACTGCAAATTCGGTCCGGTTACAATGGGGAGCAACAATGCAAAGAACCCCAGATGGCCAACTCGGCCATAAAACAGAGGTATACAACACAACACAAGAGTCCCCCGATGGCCAACATGGCCAAGACCCAGTGGGAGTGGTAACAAGACTGGAATTTTCAAATAGCCAGTTAGGCCAGGTTACAATGGGTGTTCCGAGTGAAGCTGACAGCTAGGACGCCCAGAGAAACCTAGAACGAAGGTACCGTGACTCCGGTGCCCATGATGAAATTATTTAAAGCGTTTAATGTGTGCTTACTCATGAAACAGTCTTTTGGAGCACAGGGCCAATGGAGGCTACACCTGTACAAAGTCTAGATTTATTTGCAGGAGATGTAAATTTGATTTTAACTGGATATGTCCAATCTTGGAGGTAGCTGCTGAAACTTGTGGGATATACTGGTTGCTAGTACCCATAATTGGTAACTTTTTTTATGTTGGTCTTTATTTTTTGTGTCGTGGGACAGATTGGGTCGTAAGCATTATGCTGTGTATTATATCTTTTTCCCATAGGAAGATTTTTATTTGAAATCGTACAGTTAATGCAGACTGGTTTGAAATCTTTACCAGAACAATCAGAAAACTTATGTTCCTTTGTGCAGTGGCTACACCTCAATTTGCTCCCACATTCATGAGCAAAGTGCCGAAATCCGCAGCACTTGAAACAATGCAACACCAAGATGAAATCGTCTACCTTGACGTGACTCCAGGCTAATGCCAAATACCTTTCTTTTATGAATATGTTTCTAATCCTAGGAGTGACACTCAATATGACGTGCTGACAATTTTCACGCATCTTTCCTCTAGTTAGTGTTGTTGTTATTTTACATTGCTCTTTAAAACCTTCTTTTGTCATCTCCATCCAGATTTGATTTTGTTCGAAGAGTGTTCTAGTGATTTCTTCATCTTTAATATAGTTGGGGACATGTAACATTATGATTTTGGGACGTCGTCCCTCAGAGACTCTACCTGTAGTCTTGGTAACCAGTTTTGGGTCTGCTTTCACAGCTTTTTTAAGGGTCTGCCCATCTTTATGAGACCCTACTCTTAAGCAGACTCCATCTCCCTTGATTTCACGAATAACTTTTATGCTGACCCCACGCTTGTGGGGCTCTATTCTTTCCCTGAGAGTATCAATTATTTTCTTCCTATTAAGACTCTTTTCATCCATATCCTGCTTAGGGTATAACACAAGGGCCACTCCCCCTCCTGGGCCCTCTCTGTTCACTTTGTTGTTAAGTGTCTTGTTGATATTTTTGGTTGTAGCACTTGGACTACAGTTAATTTGTGCTATGGTGGTAATCCCAGAGATAACTCAAAATCAACAGTTTCGCACAAAAACTATCTTTGGTATATAGAGTATTTTTATTGTTTGTTTACGTTATTTCAAGTTATTTCAAGATTATGCTGTAATCTATAACGGGAAAATGTTTGAATGCGATTAAATTTTAACCATAACTTTTCTGAATTTATGTATATTGCTGGTAAACATACTGTATATATAGATTGTCTAAAATTATAAATTTATAAAATAAACATATAAGTTATATGGAGATCATGCTTAGTGCAGACCTCGTTTACTCTATCAAAAAGTAGTATAATTAAAATTTGCTGAATTTCCATTAATAAATTAATTAAAGTTATATATGTTGTTCAAGTAACACTGTATATATATATTAT